TACTTGCCTAGTTTTGCTTTCGGGGGTTGAGCTCTGGCTCTTTGGTCCCACCTCTCAACTGTCAATCAACTGGTGTACAGATTTCTGAGCCTACTGGGCTCTATCATATCTACATTTGAAACTGTGTATGGAGTCTGCCTCCACCACATCACTGCCTAATGCATTCCACCTGTTAACTACTCTGACACTGAAAAAGTTCTTTCTAACGTCCCTGTGGCTCATCTGGGTACAGTCTCCACCTGTGTCCCCTTGTTCGTGTATCACCCGTGTTAAAAAGTTTATCCTTATGTACCCTGTCTTTTCGTGTGTGTGTGTGTGTCTGTGTGGACAGATGGTTGGGCACATTCTGTTCATTAACTGCCCATTGAGCCCCTCCCACCACCACACCCATTCCAAATAGGCATCGTGCTCTAGAGATTGCATCACTTGAATAAGAAATTATAAAATATAAGTGGTCACTATATTAAATTTGATTTTTAAACACAAACTTTTATACTGTACAGTCAGCCCTCTGGATCCATGAGCTCAGTTCAGTACTTATATATTTGGTATCCACATAGTAGGCAGTTATTACAAAACTTCATTAAATGAGAGTACTGGGTTCAGTATTTTTAAGTTAGTGACTGTGTATATAACTACACAGCATTGAGTTTGGATTACAATATGGGAATTTTTTCTGGGATTTATGGACTTTCTTATAACATTCTTGCATCCAGCACCTTTCAAATATAGTATTGTGTAGCATTTGCTGTATTCTCTGTATGTGTATACAGTATTTTATATATATATATATATATATATATATATATATATATATATATATATATATATATATATATATATATATATATATATATATATATATATATATATATATATATATATATATATATATATATATATATATATATATATATATATATATTATATATATATATATATATATATATATATATTATATATATATATGTCAGACCACGAAGGAAAAATGAAACAGGAAATTTCCTTAAGTACTTTCGTATATTAAATACATCTTCAGAAGGTCCTTCTGAAGATGTATTTAATATACGAAAGTACTTAAGGAAATTTCCCGTTTCATTTTTCCTTCGTGGTCTGACATTGTCACATTCTTAATCACGTGTTTATTTTCGTGATATACACACATTATATATATATATATATATATATATATATATATATATATATATATATAATGACATTTATCTAGATGTATATAGATATATAGATATATATATAATCTACATATATTTTTTTTTAATTGCACTATATAGTGAATATAGTGGACATTCTACTCTAGAGAGCATTAATGTCTTAAAAAGACAATCACTGGTGTGGCATCTTTTTGTTTGAAAGGTTCTTGATATTCAACCTGTTTTTATTTTTTGTTTTTTTTTTTCCCCAGTTGTGACAACTACTTTTTGTGTTCTTTAAAAGTAAAAGTAATGTCTTCCAGTACAATTACTCTTAAATCTTTTAAATTGCTTTTTCTTTCATTAGTGTGGTTTCTGTTCTGGTATTTTTATTTTTCTCCTACCGCAGTAACTGGAACTTATTTTCATTAAGTATCAAGTTATTTTCAGTGGCCCATTGGACGACTTGATCAGCATCAGTTTGGAGATTTGCCATGTATTCCCTAGTAAACCGTGTCCTCTGTATTGTCTCCTCTTATGAAAATCCTAGTGTCATCCTCAAAGGTTGATGCAATACTATAGTTTTGTATCCTTGTCTATGTCTGATAGGATAATATCATATACTGACCCACACTTTTAGATAAAACCAGGACTTGCTAAAGCCAGCAACTCCAGGAGGTCCATATTCACAGTCATCATTTTAGCCTCCTTACTGTTGCTGATGTGGGAGCCGAGAGCTCCTGGTGGTGCTGCCACTTGTTGGTGGCTAGTTCTAACTTAGGGAGATTCGACTTAGTCTCTGAGTGAACTGTTTGCAAAGTCATTTGACTGTGCGCTGTGTTTTGCTTCCTGTGAACCTTGAAATTGTCTGTATTGCTTCGCTTATTTTCTAGATGTTTTATCGGTGAGGATGATTGTAACAATATCCTGCTGCCTGTGCTTGTGAGGGAAGGAGGAAGGGGTGCAGGTTCACGGTAAGCCATACAGGACTCTTACAGCTGATGTGACTCGGTGCTTACCTATCAGTGACTATAGGGAGCAAGATCTAGCTCATTGTGCCCCCCACCTAGCCATTAATACCTGATTCACTAATTACCTCTCTCAACATTAACATTTTCATCATATTTTTTTCTTAAAATTTTGGATGGAATTGTCCTCAACAACCACTTCCTTCACTGCAGTCCAACTGACGACCACTCATACAAGGAGTGAGAACTTCCTTGCATCTCTCAGTCAAATGCATGAGCTACCTCAGTGAGCTGCCATTCAGGTCCTCCATAATAACAAAGAAAAATACTCAATTAGATATGGGGCATTTGGGTAGGTACAATCAGGCCTGCTTTATATAATTTGTTGGAGCAAGATCCCACTGTAATGGCAAAGGCCAAAAACTAACTTGAACTGTTACACAGTCATTACAGGAAATTTTTGATGGTAGTGACTAAGTAATTAGACAGAGGAATGCAGAATATGAACAGAAATGTAAGTCTGCATAGAATTAGAAAAAAAAAAAAAAAAAAAAAAAAAAAAAAGTACCTGTACTCAAACGTGAAGCAGAGGCATGCTAGACATGAAAAAATAAGGCACACCAAGACAAAACTCAAGACATTATAATGCCAGGAAGTAAGTAAAAGAATGTCTAGTAAACCAGATACATCAATCTCAAGAGCATCGAGATCATATTTATCCATGGTTACTAAAAAAAGCAGTGAGAAAATTGTGCAAGCTGTTGACAGGAGTTTACTGTTCAATAGTATTAGAAATGAAAGAGATTCAATAAATATGAAAAACTGCAAATGTAATTCCAGTAATCAAAAAAGGAGACAAAGGCAATAAAATACCAGATAAAATAATACGCATAAATACTGGAACATCTGGAGAATACAAAATTTGTAATGGAATAAATATAGGTTCAGGGGAATGAAAACAGTGTTATGTACAAACATTATTGAATTCTATGGTAAAGTGACTAAATCAGACAGGAGAGGGTGGATGAACTGCAGCTTCAACTTTGTGTGGGACCTTTTAAATGGTCCCACAAAAGACGAGGGAAAAATAAGCTGGCATAGCAGCAAAAATATTAGACTTATGAAACTAGAAAACTGAGAAAAGCATCATGAGAGATAATTTGGGTACCATATGAATCAGAACTGGCTCTCCTTTTGATCCTGGTGTAAATAAAAGCCCTGATTAATTTAATAAATTATTTGTTACTGATATTTAACTGATGAGAACAATGAAAAATGAGGACTGCAAAATGCTATATGGCCTTCATAAATTTAAGAGTGGTCAGATTAATGGCTACTACAGTTTAACCCTAGTAAAAAGTTAAGAGAATTAGGAATGGACAAAAAAAAATATTGATTGACAGGGAGAAAGTAGAGGCCTCAGCGAGAGAAAAAGACCAAGACATGGATATCACAGCATACACAAAGTTAGTAAACATTGATAATCAAACTAAAGACTACATGCCCTATTTATACACTTCCTCCTTCAGTCCTGAATTATGAAAAATGCATGCACGAGACTCGCACCCAGTGAAACACACACAATTTAGGCATGAGATTTGCCACAATGCTGATACCAGAAACATGAGCTTCAAGACCAAGTTCAAAGAATTAAAACTTATAAACCTTGGAGAGATGATGATCCAGAAGAGACATGGTAACAAAATACAATACAGTATACTTAGATAGACAAAGTTGGGAAGAACACTTTTCCAGATAGGAATTAGGAATTGAGGACACAATTAGATGAGAACTCTTAAATGAATTTAAAGTAGGAGAGTGAAACAGGATCTAGCAAATTCATTGTTTATCACAATGAAATGTGTCAAACAAAACACTTGTATGGGGAAAGTAGCAAAATTCATAGACTAACTGACATTGTCACAATTTGAATATGACTTTGCTACAAGTATCTTTAGCAGTTCAGCTCCCATGGATATCTAAATGATATGAAATGTTAAGCATGTCAACAAAGACGGACACACACTAAAACACTACATTTTATGATGTGAAAATTTAGGCATTTAGAGAAATCTAAATGTATGTTGCATGAAATAGCAAATCTTCATATTTTGATAAAATATCTGAAATTTTTACACTATCAATATATCCCTTCCAGTAAATAAAGGAAATATATACAATATGATGAAAGTATAAGCTGTGTAGACTAAAATGATAAACAAGAACAATTCTTATTATCCTGTAATACCCAACACTGAAATTTATTTAAAGTATTAACAAAATTACTTACCTCCAGTGTATAACAACAATGTAATTCATAGAAGTTGCACTGCAAGAAGTTTGTTGTAAGCTACAGTGCCGTCATAATTAACTGTGTGTACAGATAAGTTTTATAAAATAAGGAAAAGAATTCACTAAGGTTTGAGCAAGATCTTTTGTGCCTCTCTAATGCTCTTGTGCTACTGTTCAGAAGATCAGTATTAGGTGCACAAACCAGATGCTACTAACAGCTACAACAAAAAACGTGGAATCTGGGAACACAAATAAGCCACAGAAATGTCAGGAAGCATTTCTTCAGTGTACATGGAAGGAATTTAAGAAAGAGGCAGTTAAATCAAATTTAATCCAGTTTAAAAAGTTGGAAAGACTAGAGTTATGGAAGATTCAGAGGAAAGTTTGCATTAGATACCCAAAAATTAAACTGCAGGTCTCCCCAAGAGCCAATCCTCCTCCTTGCAAGAACATACTGCATAGGTAACAAATATATTTTCCCCAAGTTTATCAAAACTTCCTTTATTTGTAACTGGAAGTGGTAGTACTTAGCAATACTGTATACTACAGTAATGTTGAGGAAGTTGTGGAAGTATATAAACACTAGAAGGTCTCTAGAATGCATTTCTATTTATCTCATATAACGTTAAATTCAATATTTGTAAATTCACATACACCAAGAGTTTTCTCAGAAAATTATCCCGTGGATAATGAGGACTGACTGTACATTTCAATCATAAAAAAATACAAAAGGACACCTAAAATTAAATTAAATCTTTGTAGCTTCATAGACCCTACTGTAATAAAGACCATCTCTAATTATTGCATTAATGAAGAGTGTACCTGAAAGAAAAATACTGTATAAATTTTCCACATGATTATCTAGGAATTTGAATGTCAATCCTAGAACACAGTACCTCAAGAATGACTTTGATGGTGGTGGGGTTTAATGAGGCCACATAATAAAATATTAACTTTATGAATGCCAACAACACATGACTAAATCCATGTGAAAACATAACAAAAATAAAAGAAAAGGTTGCCTGAGTGTGTTTACTAGTGTTTACGACAAATGTGGACATTACTGCCCAGCCAACGTCCTAGAGATCATGATGACAGGCAGCTAAAAACTCTGCCGCACCTCATACCAGATTTACCACTTTATGACTGTGGAAATCCTAATAACTTATCTCCTAAGTTGGGAGATAACCTCCCAATTAAACTTGGCATAAATTCTTGGTGATACATTTCAAATTTCTTTACATTATCCTATGCATTAGTAGCACTTAAAGATTTCATCTTGATTTTATATTACTATATATAATTTTCCAAAGTATTACAAACATTTATCATTGTTCAAAACACTAAGGTGCTACAAAATTATTAAAACTGATAAGAAATACAAAATATGAGGTAAGAGAGAAACTGAAGTTTCACAAATGCCAAAGATACAGAACTGTTACTAGTATATTGCCTTGAGGAACAAGCAGCAGTGGCCTAGAGAGACACTGACCTAGGGGAAAACTTTAGCCTTGAGTGGGTCATTTACATCCTTAGGAAATTGAGTCTGATGGCTAGTTTTACTTGGGTGTTGATGAACACCACTGAATGTCTTACTACTACATTTGGATTTTATGTGTGTGACAGGCACCTGATTTGTAGTATAAACACCAGACAACGAATATCTGCGTGTTGTTTTTAAACCTCGTTGCCTACGTTTGGTTTTCGTTTGTTGTGTATCCATCAATGGTTGAGGTAAAATATTAGTCACGTAGGAGGATGGCTGCGATGAGTCCATGTCCCAGGGACGAGTGCTTGACGAGCCAGTGGAGTCAAACTGGGCAGGTGGGGGGGTGCCGCTGTTTGGTGTTGCAGAGGAATCGGTGGAAGGGGTGCGGCTTGGATGCGAGATGAGTGTTGTGTCTGAGCAGAGGGCAGCGATGAGTGGCACATCCAAGAGTTGGCTCCGCTCCCGCAACTGCTGCAAGCTGAGGAGCCCCCCCGACTTCCGGCTGCGAACCCTCCCAGCACCTCCCGTGGTGGGCCCTGCATCACTCCCAGTCCTGTCCAAGGTTTCCTGTAAACAAAATATTGTCCATCAACATTCTGTTCTATATTTATACAAATCCAGAGAATAGGAATCCTCTGCTCTTGCCTTCCTTGGAGCTCTCCAGCTCCTGTCTCACTAAAGCTCTGTTCTCGGCTTCAGGCCTTGCACAAGCTTTCCATCTCCAACCACTATATCCTATCTGACTGCCAGTAGCACGTAACGAGCATCCGCATCTCGACCAATCAAGACACCATTGTACCATTTCTAACATCCACACCCACAAGAACATCCACTGTTCTTATCAAACTATTAAATAAACATTGAAAATCATACTCTTTGAATGTTATCACCCAAAATTGTGTGTGTTACAACTTTTACAGTTGAATAACCATTTTTCTTAACCACATTCTTTTCCTTTAAGTCAAAAGTTTGACTATTCTTATGATTTGACTGGTGTTTTACTGCAGTTCCCACTTGTTGTGCAGCACTCAATAACTAGTGGATCCTAACTCTTAGGTCCTTTCCATCATCAATATCCTGCATGGTAATGTTGTTAATGATATTTGTAATGTGCATTTTTATACCCCTCCTATAAAGTCTTACAGTACTGTATATGTAAACTATTTAGACAGGATTGAGAAGTAACATTAGCACATTTGCTGATGATATAAAAATAGGTGAGAAATAAATTCAGAAGTTTCAAAATTACTGCAAGACTTATATTGGGTTTACAAATGGACAAAAAATATACAGATCCTGCATAATTCCATCAAATGCAGGGTTCTAATCCTAGAAAATTATAATACAGTATAATTAAGATATGTACCATAGGGTCACAATCTACCAATCACTGAAAGTTGCACAACAAGTGGGAGTCACTTCTTGTGGCTTCTCCCCCCCCCCCCCCCCCAAAAAAAAAAAACTTATTGATATATCATGCTTTTGTGATTTCTGCGTGTATAGGCAAACTAACTTTTGGTTTCAAAGAAAAGAAGGTAGTTATTCAATTGTATAAATTCCTGGTGTTCCCCCATTTGGATTATTGTATCCAAGCATGGAGAGTTAGTTCTTCAGCTTCAGAAAGACATCTTCTTTGGAGAAAGTTCAACACCAGATGACAAAAATCATCCCAGAACTAAGTCAACTCTCATACCAGGAACGGTCAAGTGCTACAGGGCTAACAACACTGCAAACCAGACATGACAGGCTGATGTCATCAAAACTTTTAAAGGTAAGTTCAGGAGAAAACACTAAATTATTATGACTATATAACACTTGGAAGGAATGAGGATAAGAATTTGGGATAGGATGGAGGGGAGGAATAGTGTCCAACCACTTGAACAGCCGAGGATTGTACACCAACCTGCAAGAAGCGAGACGGTCGCCCTACCATCCAGCCACTTGAACTGAACGGTAAAATGTCCAACCACTACTTGGAATGGATTGTTCAGTATTTTAAAATATTGAACTATTTGGATGATATTGATCCAGACCACTTCTTTAAAAGGTCGGATGTAACACAGACAAGGAACAATCCCAAGCTTAATAGGCCACAATGTAGGGGAAGCATTTCCAGAAAACATGAAATGCTTTTTTACCCATAGGGTTATAAACCATAGAACTGCCTTCCTGCCAAAGCCATAAATGCCAAAACAAGGGTGCAGTTCAATACCCAGCTGGATAAAATCATCAAAACAAATGGGAACACCTATGATAAGCCATTAAATGGAACAAAGGATGACAAAGAGTCACAATCGACTTGAGAATGGTCCAGGACGGACCGAAACGTCGTCGTCCCTTCCATTTCTAGTGTGTGGTCTGGTCAACATACTTCAGCCACGTTATTGTGACTCATCGCCTGCATTAAATGGAACTTAATGTAAATAAATACCATATTATGGAATATGGAATAGGAGAATATAGACCTCACACAACCTATAAATTATGTGAGAAATCTTTAAAGAATTCTGATAAAGAAAGAGAGCTAGGGGTGGTTCTAGATAAAAAAAAAAAAAAAACTCACCTGAGGACCACATTAAGAACATTGTGCGAGGAGTCAATGCTACACTTTCTAACTTCAGAATTGCTTTTAAATACATATACATTACATACAATACATTAAATACCTGCCTGAAATGTTGCACGTACTAGTGACTTTACAAGAATGTAATTACTATGCTATGTATCCTCACAATCCCAATGTACCTTCTTGTATGTATATATATAAATAAATAAATAAATAAATAAATAAATACATGCATGCATGGAAAAATACTAAAGAAATTGTTCACGACTTTTGTTAGACCAAAGATGGAATATGCAGCGGCTGTATGGTGCCCATATCTTAAGAAGCACAACAAACTGGAAAAGGTGCAGACATGCCACTAAGTGGCTCCCAGAACTGAAGGATAAGAGCTACGAGGAGAGGTTAGAGGCATTAAATATGCAAAAACTATTAGATAGAAAAAAAAGGCGATATGATCACTATGTACAAAATGTACAAACAGTACTGAACAGTAACAGGAATCGATAAAATTGATATGGAAGAATTCCTGAGACCTGGAACTTCAAGAACAAGAGGTCATAGAACTAACAAAACAAAGCTGCTGGTGAAATATAAGAAAATTCACTTTTGTGAGCAGTTGTAGACTGTTGGAACAAGTTAGATGCGAAGGTAGTGCAGGTCAAAACCGTCAGTAATTTCAAAGCTTTATATATGACAAAAGAGTGCTGGGAAGATGGGACACCACAAGCATAGTTCTCATCCTGTAACTACACTTAGGTAATTACTAGCTTCCTGTCTTTATCGAGGCCACTAGTAAGACTGAAGCCATCAGGTAAATTCAGGTATTAATAATAACACAATCTAATGTTATTAGATTGCGTTAACTTGCTAACTTCAGCTTTAACTTTCCCTTGTTAAGCCCCTTTGTTGATTATGCAGTACAGTTTTGGGCACCATACTATAAATTGGTCCATTTCTTTAGAAAATCTAGAGAAGGATGACAAAGATAATTCCAGAAATTAAAATGTTTCCTTATGAAGATAGAGATTCAGAAAGCTTAATTTATATTTTCTAGGAAGACAAAGAGTAAAGGGTGACGTAATTGAATGTGAGAAAGGGTATAACAAAGGAGATTAAAGAGGATAAGGTATTGAGTATATCAAAACAAAATTGAACAAAACAACAATGGATACAAATTCAATCAACTTTTGTTCAGAAAAGACCTGGTTTATACGGGTATGGAAATACTGTAAGGCTACAGATTGACAAAAAAAAAATTCTGGTTAACATAATACAATAGGAGCTCTCTGTAAGGCTGAATTTTGTGAAAGACCTATCATTCTTGACTGAAATAATACTCTCTCCAGTGACTCCCTAGTAAGGAAGTTAGCAAAGCTCCTTGGTGGCGGTGTTAGTGTGCAACCCTGCCCTAATGTGCACAACCTTTAGCATTACACACACCAGATCATACCTAAAACAGTGGCAGAATGATCTGTTTAAAACATGGCTTTTCATAAACTCAAAGCCTGATTTTTCACAACAATAAAAAACATAAAATTTGCATGAACTACTGTATAGTACTCCTCTTCTTTTTTCTATTGCTAAATAATAAATGAAAGAAAACCCATAAACCAAGACATTCCATACCTAAGCTTTCTTAAGATTTACCCAATTTTGTTAAATATATGCAACAAGCAAACTGCACGATACAAAATATGTAGATACTGTAATATCTAGATAAAAAAAAAACACATTTAATTTTTTTGCAGGAAATGTTTGAATTACTAAAGAATAAAGAAAGCAGAATAGAGGAAGAAGCAACAGTTATTACTGTTATGTTGTTAATGGTGGCTCAAGATACCAGCACAGATTTAACTATGCTGTAACTTTTTTTTTTTTTTTTTTGGCCTCCATTTAAAAATTGTTTACATACTTTGAGGGAGAATGACAAAATATTAAAATTTTATAGCAGTGCTAATAACTTGAGCCAAGCAGATCATGCACAGCAATGAAAAGCCACGTACTTGTGAGTTGTCCTCACCTTGGGCCGGTAAGGTGGGGGTGGTGGTAAAGGATGGCCTGTTGGTGCATGAGAATCTGACGCCTCTCCTAGTGCTGATGAAAGAATAGATTCATCAGAGCGGACACGAAGCATGGAAGATGCCCGCTGCATCACTTCTGAGTATGGTTCGTAGCTTCCAGTTAGAGATTGTGTTGATGCAGAATAACCAGAAGGTGCTGATGACAAGGATGAGGATGCCAGGGACTGCTGTGAAAAATAGCGCCCTCGTGCCATTGAGGAATAGCCTGAAGATGATCCAGGCTGGTGCGAGGTAAGGCTCTGATATGATGGATAGGATGACAGAACGGATGCATTACCTCCACCTGTCACTACACCACTACCACTCCCACTACAGCTGCTTAATGTTGCTGCAACATTCGGTGTCGATCTGTAAAGAGGCGACATTTTTGGGCTGCGATATGGAGGCGGTGGAGGTAAGTAAGCAAAACTGCTACTACTGCTGCTGCTGCTGGCATGTTGTTGAGCATGAGTAGCAATAACTTGCCCCTTTTTAGCATCCATATACTCCTGTCGACTCAGTGCAGGATCCTTCATAGGATATATAACATAATCCACATCAGAATAAAGCTGAGCTTTGAACTGTTCAATCTGACTCAAGCTGACTTGGTTAGTGTATACTGTGGCCAGAGATTGCTGGTGTGGAGAATAAGTACCAGGATCACTGGTACACTGGTAGGTGGGTGATGGTGCTTCGACAGCAACCTGGTACCCACTACCTCCTGGCCCAGCACCAACACCATAACCATGATGTGGTGAGGGAGGTGGGGGGTTCTGGAAGAAATTCTTTATATATGGTTGATAAAGATAATTATGTTGAGGTTGTTGGAGCTGATGCTGTTGATATACTGACTGGTGAATACCTCCAGATTGTGTATGTTGTTGTTGTTGTTGTTGTTGTTGTTGTTGCTGCTGCTGTTGTTGATAACCTGTGTATGTAGGTGATGGCAACAGTGGTACACCAACAACTTGAGCATAAGCAGCTGGCTGATAAACTGTTTCACTACTCAATCGTTGTTGTAACTGTTGTAACTGTTGTTGATGTTTGAGCTGTTGTTGTTGCAATGCTTTTTGTTGATGTCTAAGATACAGGCTTCTTGGGGTAACTGTGGGATGCTGTTCTGGATGAGCACGAGCTTTATTTTTGTTTATGGATGACGAAGCACGTACATCAAGGTAATTATTCTTTCTAATAACAGGTACTTCTGCAGCATTTTGAACACCAGCCACTTTAATTTTGTTTGTGCCATGGTCACGAGAATAAGGAGGTGGAAGGCCCAATGGTCGCATTTCTGGCAGCTGAGCAGTACCACGTTGCAATGATTGAACTGTATCCATTTTTGGTCTTGGATGAACTTGTGGTAAAGTGTGTACTACACCTCTACTTAGTGGAACTGATGTGAATGATGGAGCAGCTGTAGCTGCCAACTGAGTGTGAGCTTTAAGCACAGTGATCCTCGGCTTTGACGTTATAAATTTAGCAGGCGCTTCACTTGAATTGGCTACTGTTGTGTCACTAATGGCAGCATCAGCTGATAAGGATGCCATTATACTACATTGCTCATCATTCTTGGGAAGAGGGTCATTTGGTGAAGCAATGTTAACACGTGAGGAAGCTATTGCTATAGGAGTGATAGTTTTGACAGTTGACATGGAAACAGGAGCAGGTGGTATTAACAAGAAACGATCATCAGGCCCCGACACCTGCACATAGTCACTATCTGTATCATATGTGGATGATACTGAAGCACGAGGTTGATATCCTCCCAAAGATATTGCTAAGGCAGGAGAGTAAGATGCTAACAAAGATGCCTGGGCACTCTCAACAGAATAATCTAAGTTTTCTTCATCCTGTTGATCTGATCCAGTTGAAGCCCCTCCTTCTGAGGTTGAAGTAACTGCCTGTACCCCACCTCTCCGAGTTAGTAGCCCTTGAGCACCCAACCCTTGTGGACTGACACGATGGATACTGGCCGGTGGAGTCATAGTTCTCTCCTCATCTATTTCTCTTTGTTCAAGTTGGTTACTACTTTGCTCTGGAAACCGCAAGCCATCCTTGAAAAACTCCACATAATCATCATTATTATCCAGCTGGCTAAAATCTTCCTCTGAAAAATGATATGTCGAAGTACCTGACTCATCAAGGTCTGGTTGTACCATCACAGAAGCATCATCACTTACAAAGGTTGGGCTCCCAAAGAAATGACCCGATGCACTGGCAGAGTCCAAGGAATCATGATAGGTATGCGGCCCTGTCTCTCCTCTCTGTGCTGCTACACTTGAGTTTTCACTATCTAGTTTTTGATGTAAAAAACCTGCAGAGGCCTGGTGTAAAATACACATTGCACAAGATCCACATTTACAATGCACTTCAACATTTTCATCATCTTCAGGGTCATCAGTTGAAGTTATTGAAGTATTGTCATCATCACAGCATGTGGAACAGCAATTATGTTGTGTGTGAGACATGCCTGTACACAGATCACTTTCTTCATCTCCACTCCGCCCTGATCTTTCTGCAGCCATTCCTGGCAAGTCAGCAAGATGTGGCAGATCAGGTGTCAATGAAAGGTCTGCAAGATCAGCTCCAAGTGTCAGTTCAGGGGGAAGCCTATGTGGGACAAGAGAATATCTGGATCGAACCGTGGAGGCAGAGTGCTGTGAGGAGGAGGAATGGACACTACCTGCTCGACCTAAAGACACTCCACCTGCTTCACTTCCAGACATTCCTGTAGATCCAATTAACCGTCCTCCAGTTGGTGGAGTTGAAGCTGGCGGTGTGAAGGAGGGGCGATTTAAACTCCCTTCATCTGGATAGTAATAAGAAAAACAATTGGTTCCATAAATGTCAGTGTGCATAATATAAATAGTACCTGTATTTCTAAAATTCTATTTAAAGTAGGAAATACAGATTACTGTTTAATTACTGGTCTAATAAAATCAAAATACCTGTATTGAAAATACAAATACTGTAGTAAAACACTGTAAATGTGTGAGGAGCACTGCTTAGTAAACAAAAAAAATCATAAAAGAAAATTCAACTGCTGTACTGTACTGTACTTAGAATAAGAATATTACAATATTGAAAAAGGTAGCCAAAATATACTTTTTATATATGTACCATATATGAAAGTACTGTACATATAAATACATAAACATTTAACCAAAATATACAAACTCTACACATGAAGCATTATCGTTCCTGCTTCCAACGTTGTTAATGGGATACGTTTTTCGAAACAGTTTGTTGATAGACAAGATGAAGAACAAACAAAATGAGAAAGGTTATATAGACTGTGATAATTGCTGTACTTTGTGTGATGAGGGATGTGCATGTCACTCACGTTAAATTCGGTTTGACAGCTTTCTGTCCTCAACAATGGTATACTGGTATCATGAGTTACATGAATTACATACAAAACATACCTCATTACCTCACTCCCCACTTTCATGGGGAGCAAGAAGGCATCAGCCAAGATAAAAGAATGAAGTGAAAAACAATTTATAGATACAGTATACAGTACAGGTATTGCATATAAAAAGCTTTATTAAAAATAAAAAATAAATCCTCCTATATCATTCAAACTAACATCATGTATAAGCAAGCACATCCACACTTCAGTAGTAATCCACAGCAGCACCCCACCACTTCATAAGACCAGATTATATATACTGTACAGTATAATCACTTCATAAGACCAGATTATATATTTATGTAATGCAGTCATATCATCTATGCTATAACTCTTATTATAGCTCATAAAAGTGAATCACTCAGCATAAAACTCATAGCATTGGAAGTTGACTTATTTGCCATTCACATCATCTAACAAATCAGAAAAGTCGTCAACAAAGTGATAATGAGCAAATGAAAGACATAAGCTTGTGTGCAAACATTTAGGAAAACCAGAAGTATGCGGCAAGTCTACATACCAAAATCCGGAGTATGAGCGTGGGTGCTACTTGAGGATGAGTCTAGCCGAGAAAGAGACCTGGTGAGGGATTCTACTCCACTTTCAATACTTGCAGCAGGTGGTGTGTTGATCATAATCTCAGAGTCGAGATCATCTAGTGTTTAAAGGACTGTAGATTAGTATCTCCTAAATTTCAAATTGACCAAAAATTTTATAAAGACAAGATTACTTTAGTAACATTGTAAAGAAAATTGCAAATACAGTACAGGTACTGTATATCTATTTATTATGCACGTTTTTCAAAATATGCAAAAGATCAATTAGCACTGCACAAGAGTACTGTACTTCTTAAAACTGCTGCCCAGACCAGATCTAAAATATTCCTTCCTTGGGTGAAATGATACAAGTTAGACGAGACATATATGAGCTCCATGAATTTTTCAGATTGCGAGGAGAAACCTTTCCAGCAATTGAATTTTCCCCATAATGAGATTCTGTATTTTAGATACTGTTAATTTAACTTATTGTAAGGCTTCAAAACCCTCTACTGATGGCGTCTCTGCTCTGCGGCACACACATTAACACCATAACTTACAGGTAACCATGTAAGTGCCCCAAGTCTTCTCATCCCAGCAGCTACATGCAGTTGTTGCTAGGCAAAAATCACCTGTTTATAAGATACAGTATATCACCTATTAAAAAAAAACTAGCCAAATTTAACCAAGGCTCCCAAATTTACCTTCACTCCCATCAAGTGACAAGACACGATCAGAAACTATTCCACTGGTAGTGTTAGATGACGTATTGGAGATGACAGAGACGCGTTGGTCTGCTGAAGTCTTGGCTAAATATCCTCGGAGACCTCCTAAAGTATCGGAAAGGCCTCCCATCTCTGCATATCTGTCACTGTAGATATAGCTCTCCCGATACCGTCTACGATCTGTAAGTGTAACAATAGATATACATAGACAAGAAAACTTAAATTTTTATTGTAATATCTTAGCCCAGTACCACAGGGCTCCAGCTTCTTTGCTAGAGCCCATTCCACTTAATTTATTTATTTACATATACAGTACAAGAGTTTTTACATTCTTGTAAAGCTACTAGCACGCATAGCGTTTTGGGCAGGTTCATAATCGTAATTTTCCCTGGAATACGACCCGTCAAATCATTTAACAACCAGGTACCCATTCACTGCTGAGTGAACAGAGGCGTATAGTTAAGAATTGGCATCCGGTCAATTGTCCACGGCCAGGTTATAAACCTAGACCAAATCGCTCGGGAGGGCGGGTGTGTGTGAGGAGAGGGACGGGGCGGGTGTGTGTGAGGAGAGGGACGGGGCGGGTGTGTGAGGAGAGGGACGGGGCGGGTGTGTGAGGAGAGGGACGGGGCGGGTGTGTGTGAGGAGAGGGACGGGGCGGGTGTGTGTGAGGAGAGGGACGGGGCGGGTGTGTGTGAGGAGAGGGACGGGGCGGGTGTGTGTGAGGAGAGGGACGGGGCGGGTGTGTGAGGAGAGGGACGGGGCGGGTGTGTGTGAGGGAGGGACGGGGCGGGTGTGTGTGAGGAGAGGGACGGGGCGGGTGTGTGAGGAGAGACGAGAGGGACGGGGCGGGTGTGTGAGGAGAGGGAGGGGCGGGTGTGTGTGAGGAGAGGGACGGGGCGGGTGTGTGTGAGGAGAGGGACGGGGCGGGTGTGTGTGAGGAGAGGGACGGGGCGGGTGTGTGAGAGAGAGGGACGGGGCGGGTGTGTGTGAGGAGAGGGACGGGGCGGGCGGTGTGTGAGGAGAGGGACGGGGCGGGTGTGTGTGAGGAGAGGGACGGGGCGGGTGTGAGGAGAGGGACGGGCGGGTGTGTGTGAGGAGAGGGACGGGCGGGTGTGAGGAGAGGGACGGGGGGGTGTGTGAGGAGAGGGACGGGGCGGTGTGTGTGAGGAGAGGGACGGGGCGGGGCGGGTGTGTGTGAGGAGGGACGGGGCGGGGTGTGTGAGGAGAGGGACGGGGCGGGTGTGTGAGGAGGAGGGACGGGGCGGGTGTGTGTGAGGAGAGGGACGGGGCGGTGTGTGTGAGGAGAGGGACGGGGCGGGTGTGTGTGAGGAGAGGGACGGGGCGGGTGTGTGCGAGGAGAGGGACGGGGCGGGTGTGTGAGGAGAGAGAGAGGGACGGGGCGGGTGTGTGCGAGGAGAGGGACGGGGCGGGTGTGTGCGAGGAGAGGGACGGGGGGGTGTGTGTGTGCGAGGAGAGAGGACGGGGCGGGTGTGTGTGTGTGTGAGGAGAGACGGGCGGGTGTGTGTGAGGAGAGGGACGGGCGGTGTGTGTGAGGAGAGGGACGGGGCGGGTGTGTGTGAGGAGAGGGACGGGGCGGGTGTGTGAGGAGAGGGACGGGGCGGGTGTGTGTGAGGAGAGGGACGGGCGGGTGTGTGTGAGGAGGAGAGGGACGGGGCGGGTGTGTGTGAGGAGAGGGACGGGGCGGGTGTGTGTGAGGAGAGGGACGGGGCGGGTGTGTGAGGAGAGAGGGACGGGGCGGGCGTGTGTGTGTGAGGAGAGACGGGGCGGGGCGGGCGGGTGTGTGAGGAGAGAGACGGGGCGGGGCGTGTGTGAGGAGAGGGACGGGGCGGGTGTGTGTGAGGAGAGGGAGGGACGGGGAGAGGGACGGGCGGGTGTGTGAGGAGAGAGACGGGGCGGGTGTGTGAGGAGAGACGGGGCGGGTGTGTGAGGAGAGGGACGGGGCGGGTGTGTGAGGAGAGACGGGGCGGGGGTGTGAGGAGAGACGGGGCGGGTGTGTGAGGAGAGACGGGGCGGGTGTGTGTGAGGAGAGGGACGGGCGGGTGTGTGTGAGGAGAGGGACGGGCGGGTGTGTGTGAGGAGAGACGGGGCGGGTGTGTGAGGAGAGGGACTGAGGGAGAGACCTGGGCACCGGGTTGCCCGAGTACCGCCAGGTACCCCATTTAGTAGTAAATACACAAACACTGTCTAATATAACAATTCAAACATTTAATCTATGATGGAAAACATGTAGTAAAAATATATTGAAGATAAGTAAAACGAAAGACACTA